CCAAGTTGTAGAATGGGGGCAGGGAGGGATCCAGGTGTTGTCATGGCTGATAGGATTTGTGATTCATTCTAACCAGGTGTAGGACACCCACTTCTTGTGACAGGTTTTTAGTCAGGTGTGACTTTGTTCTGTTGTAGCCGAGAGGTGTGTTTGACAGACTGCTCAGACTATAGAATGTGAAATAAAGTGTAAGTTGCTCACTTAGCCCTTCTGATCCTCCACTCCATTGTTCCACCAAAGCAATGGTGCTCAGGTTCTGGCTACCCACAGTCAACTCCCTGGGACTTGCATCTGTATGGTGACACAGGCAAAGTTTATTCAAGTATCTTTGTTAGGTGTGTGGTGGGTGGGTGTGCACACACACGCACACACACACACACTTACATGATACCAGTCCTGGGGCTTGAACTCAGGGCCCAAGGCACTGTCCTTGAGCTCTGTTGCTCAAGGCTATCACTCTACCACTTGAACCACAGTTCCACTTCTAGCTTTTTGCTGGTTTATTGCGGATAAGATTCTCATGAACTTTTCTTGCACAGGCTGGCTTTGAACCCCTGATCTGTGACCTCAGCCTCCTGAGTAGCTAAGATTATAGGTATGAACCACTGGGGCCTGGCTCAAGTGCCCTTTAAATATAGTTTCTTACAGTAACCAAAACGATCATTTCAAATCTTTTATACTTGCCGGGATCTGGTAACTCACATCTGTAATCTAGCTATTCAGGAAGCTGAGATCTGAAGATCAAAGTTTGAAACCAGCCCAAGAAGAAAAAAATCCATGACACTGTCTTCATGAAATTGTCTACAATTAAAAAGCAAAAAAAAAAGGAAATGAAGCTGTGTCTCAAGTGGTAGAGTGTTAGCCTTGAGTAAAAAAGCTAATCTGCAGCACTAGGCTTTGAGTACCAGCACACACACACACACACACACCAGCACACACACACACACACACACACACACACACACACACACACCAAAAAATCTTTATTCTAATCTGTTCTATTTTTTTTTGTCAGTCATGGGTCTTGAACTCTGGGCCTGGGCACTGTCCCTCAGCTCTTCAGCTCAAGGCTAGCACTCTACCACTTGAACCACTTCTGTTTTTCTGGTGGTTAATTGTAGATAAGAGTCTCACGGAATTTCCTGCCCAGGCTGGCTTTGAACTGCAATCCTAAGATCTCAGCCTCCTGAGTAGCTAGGATTACAGGTGTGAGCCACCAGCACCCGGCTTCTGTTCTAATTTTTCCACTAATAACTTTTCACACTAATCTTCAATGTCCCTTGATTTATATTTCATTAATCTTAATATGAATTCATTTGAAAACCATAACTTGCATCTTTCAAACAAATATGCTAATAGTCAGAGGTCATTTATTAATTAATTCTTTGGGCAGGTACATTAACTTTCTAAACCTTAGTTTTCTCACCTAAAAATTGGAATAATAATTATTTCTACCTCATCAGATGACACAAGAAGATGTACACAGAGAGATCACATATAGTAAAGGCTCAGCAAGAGAATTTCTATTTCTCATCTACTTGGCCAACCCTAAGTTCACAGAAAAGCTGAGATTTTGTGATTTATCTACATGGATGAAGGAGCTTTCGGCAGAACAGCTAGCCCTAGCTGCCATAGCCATCCCTAAAGTCATAGTGTAACTACTGTGAATATTTCTTTCCTCACACTTCCTCTGGCCCAGGTTAGGCAGCTGAGTTAACTGGAGCACATGGTATCTAGAATTACGGCAGCAGGAAAAAGTGGGCTTTTAAAAGCCTCAACCTGGAAGTCAAATACCCCTTCCTTTCACCATACATTTGGCCACAAGTAATCACATGATCCAAAAGCAAAGGCAACTGGGAGACTATCCCCAAAACACCCAAATAAAAAAGGGCTGGGTGTGTGGCTTAAGTGATAGAGCACCTGCCTAGCGAGTACAAAGCCCAGAATTCAAATCCTAGTATCACCACCAAAAAAAAAAAAAACCAAGTTCATATTTCTACTAACCAAAAGGTATTATAAAAACAGATATAAGGGCTGGGAAGTTGGCTCAGTGGTAGAGTGCTTGCCTTGCATGCACGAGTCCCTGGGTTCGATTCCTCAGCACCACATGAGCAGAAAAAAACTGGAAGTGGCACTGTGGTTCAAATGGTAGAGCGCTAGCCTTGAGCTGAAAAGCTGAGGGACAGCACCCAGGCCCAGAGTTTAAGCCCCACAACCGGATCCAAAAAAAAAAAAAACAGATATAAATAATGCTGAGAAGATCGAGTGCAAAATTTATAAGAGAATTGATCCCTTTTTTTGGGGGGGGTCCGGTTGTGGGGCCTGAACTCTGGGCCTAGGCACTGTCCTTCAGCTCTTCAGCTCAAGGCTAGCGCTCTACCACTTGAGTCACAGTGCCACTTCCGGGTTTTTTCTTTTTGCTTATGTGGTGCTGAGGAATCAAACCTAGGGTCTTAGGCATGCAAGGCAAGCGCTCTACCACTGAGCCAACTTCCCAGCCCAAGAATTGATACCTTTACAATGCATTATTAAGAAAAACAAATGTCGTGTCCTGCCTGTGTGGACAGGGATCTTGTCTGTCACTTGTCTACTGTATCCTTAGACCTCACATAATCACAAAAGAATGAGTGGATGAACCAACCAATCATATAGAAAACCAGGCAATTGCAGTTTACTAAAAGGGGAACCCAAGCATCTAATATTCATAAAGAACATTGGTCTGACCTGCCTGACTCAGGAGAAGAAGAAGAAATCCCCTCTTCACAAAGGATTATATTCAAGGAAACTGGAAGTAGTGCTGTGGCTCAAGTGGTAGAGCACTAGCCTTGATCTGAATACCTCAAGGACAGAGCCCACCCAGCACAGAGTTCAAAACAAACAAACAAAAAAAAACAAAGGATGATATTCAATGTCTAGAAATTATGTCTGGTCATGAAAACACCAAATGGAACCAAACAAAAGGCCAATAAGACCACAGACATATCACTTTCAGTAATCACACTGGCACATTTTGTAACAATGACCAACACTATGTGGTAGTGAGGATCTGAGGACACAGCCCATTCATCCACTACTGGTAGGTGCCTACCTGTGTGCCCAAACATGAGTAAATCTGACAAGTCCTAAAAGTTTTACTGTTGATTCAAATACAGTTATTCTAACTCAATGTTGCTACCAATCAGAATTTATCCTGCAGAAATAGTCTTTCCAGAGATACTCATGATCTACTGTTAAATAAATAAACTGACTATGGACCGGCACGTTGGCATAATCTCATTTTTTAAAATGTATTTGCCCACATATTTCACCTAAACATTGGTGGAATGGTTTTATTGATAAATGATGGAACACTGTTTCTGGGTGGTGAGACTATAAGCAGTTTTACTCATTTAGGTTATTTTTCTGCCAACTTTCTTTCATGAGCATGCAGGTCTTATGGAATTAAAAATAAATAAAAATAAGGTTGTTATTTTTAAAGAGTGATTTCACATTGAAAAATATAAAATTGGCATCAATACGGAGCTAAATCAGTCCAACTTTTTTGGGAAACAATTTGCTGTTGCATCAAAAGTTTTGAAAATAGGCAATTCCTAGTAACAGATTGGAGACTCTAATTTTGGTAGGCTTTGTGTGTGCACTTACTTTCTAAGTTTTCAGAAAGAGCAAATGTAGTAAGAAGAACCTAAGAACTCAGAGATTTTTACAGTTATCATCTCCTTGTCAAGAAAATGAGCCACAAAGTTGCTACATGCAAACAGGTAGTCCTTTCTGGATAGCCATAGTTAGGCAAATCATAGAGACTTGTATTTCTCATTCTACACAGAGGAATATTAGCCATGCATTAAGGAGATGAGGGTGACAGATGTGTGGGAAGCTTTCTTTTGTTCTATGATATTTAATTAGCCATTGGGTGACATTAGGAATATCTTTGACTATGCCAAGGTCAAGTTTGTATATAAAATGACAGAGTGGTTATGCTGAATATCTTTAGGATGCCTTCACCTCCAATCCTGCAAAATGATCTGTAAGTCTAAGAAGTATGTGCTTGTCTACACCACCTAGCTGAGAGGGAATAAAACCCGTGTTTTAATAAGACAGGCCACACTTAAAAATTGAAATCTGTTATTTCTCCCTATTTCAAAGTGAGAGAAATGTTCTGCCGAGAGAGAGAGAAAGAGAGAGAGAGAGCCACAAGGTAGAAGGAAGAACAAATGAGTCCCCCATGGACTCATCACCCAGTGTCAGCAGCTGCCTGCATTTGGCCAACTCCTTGTAAAACTGACATGTCATTTCATGTCTCATACATTTCATCCGTAGATATACTCATCTCTGACTTGAACTCATACTTTTTAACTAGCTGCCATGATATTATGCCACCTATCAAAATTTACACTAACCCCTTAATATGTCACCTGATCATGCAGACTCCTCTATCTTAACTTTTCCAGTTGTCTCAAGGTATCTTTTATTGCAGCTGATTAGTTTGGATCAAACAAGGTCCAGGTATTGCATTGTATGCCTTTTTCAAGACATCAGCTGTTCAGCAAACCAGGTGTATATCAGCCTACCTCTGTGAGCAATACAAGAAAACTATAATTTTCACTTCAGTCATTCCTTACTTCTATTCCTCATCACCATCCCTCACTGTCAACCTTGTCTTTTAGCAAAACTCAGTTACATCATGTAGTCACCTTACCTAATCAGACCCCAGCTCTAAGTGGCCTCTCTTATTTTCCAAGAATTAAATCCAATTCAATGTCTGGATATTGTTCACCAGTTAAGGTAATTAAATCTGTTAGCAAATCTCTGTGTGAATCAGAAGTGGAGCCCCAAAACAAGACATGAATAGTGGGTCGTGGGTAATCGTTCTCAATGTGTCTGATTCAAGGGGCCCTCTTCCCTGGACAGGGACAGATTGTACCACAGACATCTGCTTGACTAACCTGTTCTAAAACAAGCTATGTGACTATTAAATGTAATTGACATATTTGTTTTCACAGATAATTGCTTACCAGCCGTATGGAAAATCTGTGGACTGGTGGGCATACGGTGTCCTGTTGTATGAAATGCTGGCTGGCCAGGTAATGCTCACCATGTTCCATGTTTCTTCATTCATTGCTATTCTTGATGAGGTGACTACTTCTCTGCTACGGCAGCTAGCAGGTTACACCAAGGTCATGTGACTGATGTTGGTCAGACTTCCCTGGTCCAAGGAAAGTGGGAGAAATTTCCCCTTGAGAATGAGTGACACTCAGTGTCATAGAAATGATCTGTGATCATAGAAGCACCAAATGGAAAGCTGGAGTCTGGAATGTACTATGACCCCACAGCTCCTGCAGACTGATGGCTGTTGTGGTTGCTTTGAGTTTCTGGTATCTCAAAACTGGCTGTGGGTTTTTACCATGGCCTTCAGCTCTGTGAGCAGAGATTGTCTCCACTGCTGCTCAGGTGTATAACCTCTGGTGTTGCCTAAGGAAGAAGCCTGCTCTGCTTCCTTGAGGAAGTATTCTGATAGCTCCTCCTGTCTCCTCCTCATTCACATTCGCTGTGGGTTTCACCAAAGTCCAGGGAGGCTGAGTGCCCAATTTAGGAAAAAATTAGATTGGCTCAGATAAGGCAGCGAACCAAGTGCATGATTGCCTGATGTGACACTTTCTAACATAATGACTTTAATATGTGCATTAACCTAGTGTGTCCTAACTGCTTTAACAGCCAACTTCCAAATCTCAACACTTTGACACACACCGGGTTTATAATGCCTTCCTGGCATGATCCTTATGCTGTGGTGGGGGCAAGGGGTCTGACCCACACAGGTGGTCCGTGACAACTCCCTCTCTTCACTCCCTCTTTGAGAACTTTAGACTCCGCCACGGAGCCCTCCTCATTCTAGCAGCCAGTGGAAAGAGAGTTGAGAGGATAGTCACCGTTTAAGACCAGGCTTGGAGGTGGAATCTGTGGCTCTGCCTGCCTGTACTCCAGAGTGGGGTGGGCCCTGCAGGATGCCTGGGAGCTCAGTCAGGGAAGCACATTGGACCAGCACCTAGCAGATGTCTGCATTTCAGCCCAAAAATACTCCCATTGTGGGCAGCCTTTAGAATTCCCAGAACCCAAGTTCTAGTGCCAAGGAAGTTTGGCACTGGAAGTTTGGAGCATGGGTAAGACAGAATGGACAGAAATGCTCAGAACAGCAGTGGCACCAACAAATAAATCATTGTTTGTGTAAGAAAAACCCCCTCTCCTAACCTGCTAGAGCCATCTGCTCATTTATCTAACTTATTGAATGCATTCTGTGTGCACAGTGGTAAGAGTGCTTAGAACAGACAAAAAAAAAACCCTTGCCTTCATGAAGCCCACAGCTTAGAGAAAGAGAAACGATAGATTCATTAGATAAGGACAACACATAACATATTCATAACAGAAGAAGAAAGAAATAGGCAGAAAAAGAAGACACAGACAGAATTGGAAGAGGGCTGAACTCTTAGCTGGATTGGCCAAGAAAGGATGAAGACACCCAAAGGTGTGTGTGTGCGCGTGCACACATGTGTGTGTGTGTGTGTGTCTGTGTCACAGTGAGCTAGCAGGAGTAGGAAGCCTGAGGTCAGACAGGAAGAGCTCCTCTGGTCCTATGAGCATAGTTGTCATTTCAAGACCACTGACTTTCACCCTGCCATGGAAAGCCCCTGATGACCTCTCCTTTATATCTCTATTGTGATATCTCCTATCTCTTAGATAACAAAATTGTCCATTTGCTTTAGGAAGATTTAAAGCATTAGCCTACCTCTGATCATGAAGACTATATTTGGTGTTAAGACTTGGCTGACATAAAACAGTGGAGTGTTTAGTTAGGTTTGTCTCCTCTGTCAAAGCATTCTTCTTTAGCCTGGCACCTCCATGTGTAAACATGGAAAAGCGGGTTATATACAATTGCTGTCAATGAGACTAGCTGGGAAAACACAGGTTGCCTGCACCTGAAGCTAATTTCCTCTCTTTACAATTTTGACAGTAACATTTGACTGGGAATTACCAGCCCTCTGGGAGCCATGCTGTTCATGAAGGCACAAGGAGCCAGTTCCCTCCTTGATCACACACACACACACACACACGCACACGCACACGCACGCACACAAATGCTCATCTTTCAAGCCCAGGAAACAAACCTTCATTAAGAGTCACGTTTGCATAGTTGGCAGCAAGTGAAACCAATGGAGCAGAAACATGGACACTTTACAAGAGGTTGCAGATTTTATTGGCCAATAGATGGCAGTTTGGGGACTCAGCCTGCAGGGAAGTCCCCACCCCTACCCCTCCTTCTGCCTCATCCCCTCCTCCTCTGAGCCTTCCTGAGACTGTATTCCCTACAGATGCCCAGTGAAACCCACTCCAAGAAGGAAGTCCCCTGGGGTGCATTCTGAAGTCCTGCTTGCTTCTGGCCTCATTTGCAGGCTAGCCATGAAATGCTGATGCCCAGGCCCTCTGGGAAGGCCCCTTCCCTTTGTCCATTCTCCCTGAAGCGCACACCCCACACACCCAGGTGTTCCATAAACACCTGGAATGATTCCATGGTTTTCAATCCTGTTTCTCAAAACCAGTTAGCTCTGGGCATGTGCCCCGCCATGCCTTCACCAGCTGTTGAAGCTCATATGCTGGTATCGTGTGGGAACCGGTAACAACCGCCTTCATGCCCTTGAGTCTTCACCTGGCCACCTACAAACAGGTACCATTCAAAGCCCCTTCTTCCTCATCCTCACTGGCTCCTTGATGCAAAGGTAAATGAAAGCCTAATCATTCTGTGACTCAGTCCCCCAAGAAAGGATAAAACAGCTCCAATCACCCATGTCACCCAAAGTCTCCTCAAAGCTGCAGGGACCCAAGAAAGAGTAGGTTCTGTTGTTGGAAAGGAAGATTAATTATGAAGTTGTTGGAGGGACTGTGGCCTCAACTTGTCTTCCTTAACCATGGAGGGCTGAAGATGTGTTTTAAAAAATTGATTATAATTTTCTTCTCATTTGATTTATTTATTGTCAGCAGCCAAGAGGGCTGTTAAGCATAAACGCATAAAGAGCCCAAGGCTGCGTGGATTACTTGACAAGTACTATTACTTTGTGAGCACAAATGGAAATTGCCAGCACTATGAGGAAGATATTGCAGCTCCAAGTGCTCACAGTATTAGTCATAAAGGGACCAACCCTCTCCTCTTTATGGCATTTTCTGCCTGGGTTATTTATGTTTTGTCTTCATTCCTGATGAATCAGTAATGGGTGCTTCATCTCAGTAATTGGAAGTTCAGCCGGAATGGTCCACCTGTTTCCCATCCCACACCTCAAGTTCTCAATAATCTACAGTAAATATGGCAGGATCCTAACTACCTCTTATTAGCAGGTGATTTAGGTACCATGTTATCCAGTGTGGACTGTCGCCCTCATTTGTTTGTTTAAAACCCACAAATGGTGTATAGCTAAAGCAAGATGAAGGGTGCGACCTATTTAGAAAATGTCTATGTGTGTTGGGCTGGGAAGGTGGCTCAGTGGTACAGTGCTTGCCTTGAATGCACGAGGTCCTCAGCACCACATAAGCAGATAAAAAGCCGGAAGTGGTGCTGTGGCTCAAGTGGTAGGGTAGCCATGAGCCGAAGAGCTGAGGGACAGCGCCCAGGCCCAGAGTTCAGGCCCCATGACCGACAAAAAAAAAAAAAAAAATAGAAAATGACTTGTTATAGGTAGCTTAGCTTGGAACATTGCGTTCAGATTTAGAGAAAATAAAAATAAATAAATAAATAACCATGGGGGTTGCAGGAAGTGGGGAGAGAAGCAATCTAAAATGGTCTTGTACTAAGTACCTAGGCAACATATTACCCCCCATCGTACTAAGTACCCAGGAAACATATTATGTCCCCAGGCTAAGTAGCTGGCACTCATTACTAGAAAGGAAAATGAATATAATTATAACTCGTCACCACTGACCTGCCTTCACCACCAAGGACTAAGAGTAGGCAATTACCTGTAAGAAGGCTTCCCGGGTGAACTGGAAAAACAAGGGCATACACACGTTCACACCCTCTGCTACATAATCCTACACCTGGGGCATTAGTCCTAAGAAGTAATTCAGAAGAGCAAAAAGCCATGTGTACAAAGATGTTTCTAGTAGCATTATTATTAGGATGCATTGCTGACATCAGTTGTTACTGTGCCCGTGGACAAAGAAATCAGGCTGTGATGATGTGTCACCTTGGTGGCATTCAGCTCTGGCTGGGAACACATGGCTACAGACAAATGCATCTGCGGCAGTCAGTGAAAAACAAGACCTCTGATTGACGTGTCGTATCTGAAAGCCATGTAAGAAAGCCTATAAATCCATGTGAAAAATAAGCATATTGGTGTGTTTAGATGAAGAGAATGTAGATGCTCCTTTCATGACCCAATCTTACATCATTTTAATTGAAAACAGAGCTCCCGGGAGCTTTCCTAAATGTGATGTTCATTACTACTATTTGCCAAAGATTTCGTGTCTATCTTCCCTCTGGCACAAGATAGGATTGTACTTCCAGGCTCTCCAGCAATTGGACAGGGCTTCCAACTCATTCTGAACCAAGAGCTCTGAGGAGAAGTCCTAGAGCTGCAGCTACCACCGTGGCCATGGTACACCAAGATGGCAGCCAATCCACCAGACTGGGGCTCGAATGACTACACTCAGCACAGCACTCTGTGGATCCCAGTGATATGTAGCATGAGAAACGAAACGAGCTGTACAAGCTTTGGAGATGTTCTAGGGGTTTGTTGACCTCACTTGTGACAGGGTGACTGGTACCTAAAACACAATTTGGGTCATCTACCTCTTGCAGCAAAAGACATATGTTAGGGGATCCCACTTACATAAGATTCTTAGAATAATCAAATTCATAGACTCAGAAAGGAGAATGGTGGTTGCCTGGAGCTGGGAGAAGAGCCGAATTGGGGAGTTTGGTTTAATGCGTGTTCAGTTTGAGAGAGAAAAGGAACGAAAGTCTGAAAATGGGTGTAATGATAATGGCAGAACAGTATGAGAGTGATGTCATAGGACTGTGCCCTTAAAAGTGGGTAAGATAGTGTGTGTGTGTGTGTGTGTGTGTGTGTGTGTGTGTGTGTGTGTGTGTGTGTGTGTGTTGCTGGGCTGCAGATGGAATCCAGGGCCTCACACAAAGTAGACTATTTGATTTGGTAGATTCTAACATCTGTCTATCTTTGCGACAGAGGAGGCAGAATAGAAACAGTAGGTATATGAGTGGGCGTCATTGCAAACCCAGGAGGAGGAGGCGCTTTCCCACGCGCGAAGCTTTCACTCAGGAACAGTCCTGGCCTAATTTCTCCAGGGCTCATCCTCGAGCACATAGGTAGCTGCAGAAACAACAGGCCTGCAGCTGTGAGGAAAGGTGACCTGACCATCTCCCACTGGTTCATTGGGACCTGGAGAGAGGTCTCTGGCTGGGACCAATTGCTCTCCACACGATGACCTGAACATCGCAGACCCCCTCCTTCCCCGTCCCCTCCCCCCTCCGACTGCCCCATCTATGCTTTCAGAAATGTCCATTACATCTGATGCAAAATGCGACTAGTCCCGATAAAGCTCACCAGGACAACCTGTCCCCAGCAGAGTCTTCTGTGTATGCGGGCGGACCCCACTGAGCGCTCCCACCTGTGTCAGCCCAAAGAGCCATTGTTCACTGTTCAATTCCAGGAACAAGTGTTGGGCAGGAGTAGTGCTTGGAATGGCTGAGAGCCTAAGTCTGAGTTAGCATCCTGGTTCTGCCACAAGAGCTCTTTGCCCTGAGCAGAGTACTACACAGGACCTCATTGGCCTCACCTGGGATGGGTCCTTGGCATCCAGATGATAAGTATAGTTTGAGGATTAAGTGATATGTATAAAGCACTCCCCTGGTGCCAGGAAGAGGCTGAGATGACCGTTATCCACCTTCCCCATAAGCCCATCCTTCCCCTCCCTTATTTCCTGTGTAGAGAGTAGATTTAAAAACAAAAACTGGAGAATCACATGCCTGTCCCCTCCCTAAGGTGTAGTGACAGGAGAGTCCCTGACCCTGGAGGCCTCCCAGGGAGAGAATGCAAGGTAAATCTCGAGACCTTGTCTAAGGGACATTTGGTTGCCTGCATTTATTGTCACTTGGGAACCCTTCTGCAACAAACCAGCAGCTTAGAGTAGCTTCTTGTAGGCAGGAGTCCTGGGCCAGAGGAAAGTCCTCTTTGCTCCAGTTCTGAGATTCCCTATCTCAATTGAAAACATTAAGCATTCTCTATCCTTCTCCTACTGAACATGAAGCCATCTGACCTAACTTGTTCATAATTAAATTTTTTAGCACATAATTACAAGATTAATGGATTAATTACAATTTATTTGTGAATCATTAATAGCATTACTCAAAAACATTTTTCCCTAAAGATTGTTTTGGGGTTGCTCAAGGCAAGATAATTAAAAGGACAGAGTTAAAAATGAAAAACACACAGTCACCAGTGTAATTAAAGATAATCAAATAAAGCCTTAAGTTAAGTGAGCTAACCCTGACTCCTGCAGTGTGCCGGGAAATCTGGTTGGATTCTTTATGCTGCATCTGACCTGCAGGTGCCATGTTAACGAGCTATTTCTCCTAAGTGTTTTCCTGTCTTTGCTCTTTTCTGAACCAGCCGCCATTTGATGGTGAAGATGAAGACGAACTGTTTCAGTCTATAATGGAGCACAATGTTTCCTATCCCAAATCCTTGTCCAAGGAGGCTGTTTCCATCTGCAAAGGAGTAAGTCCATCTGAATTCTTCTTTTTTTTTTTCTGTCATGGATCAAGGGGCCTGACAGGGAGAGACTTTTTCAAAATTCTTTTTTGAGAAAGGGCTTCACTCTGTCACTCAGGCTGGTCTCAAACTTATAACCCTCTGTCTCCCAAGTGCTGAGAGCACAGCGTTTCCCATAGTTCTGAGTATAGACATGCCTCAAGTGCAGGCCACTCTGCTCTTGGGCACAGAGGGCAAGCATTGGTAATGTGGGCATTGGGGCACAAGGAAGGCAGCATCCCCTGGGGCTCAGGCCTACTCCCTTATGGAGCTACACTTCTGTTTCTAGTCCATTTTGTGAAACTGTGGAGTGGGCCACCAGCTGTAACCACAGACCATTGGAAAGTTGGAGTTCCCACTAATTCTAGTTCTAGGCCTCTAAAGTTAGTTGTTTTTGTTTTTTTCCCAGTCTAGGGGCTTAAACTCAGGGCCTGGGCACTGTCCCTGAGCCTCTCTGTGTTCAAGGCTAGGGCTCTGCCACCTGAGCCACAGCGCCACTTCCAGCTTTTTCTGTTTATGTGGTACTGGGCTCCATGCATGCTAGGCAAGCTCTCTACCACTGAGCCACATTAGTTCTTTATTAGTTGTTTATCTCCCTCCACCCCAATTTTTTTTTTTTTTGGTCAGTCATGGAGCTTGAACTCTGGGCCTGGGCGCTGTCCCTCACCTCTTCAGCTCAAGGCATGCACTCTATCACTCGAGCCACAGGGCCACTTCTGGTTTTTCTGGTGGTTAATTGGAGGTAAGAGTCTCACAGACATTCTTGTCTGGGGTGGCTTTGAACCGTTATCCTCAGATCTCTGCCTCCTGAGTAACTAGGATTACAGGTGTGAGCCACTGGCGCCTGGCTCTGACTGGTTTTTAATGGTTAACTTTTAGGTCATACAATTCTTTTCAGACTTAGTGAGATGGAGTGCAGCACACTCTTTCATGTTTTAAAGATAGTTCAGTCCTTTGGGAAATATTTATCCTATGTTTTTAGGGCAGGGTGGTAGGCAGAGATGCTAATAGTGGACTGACATCTCCCCTCCAAGCATTCAGCATAGCCTCTGAATCCTGTACCAGGCATGGTGAAGCCAACTAGCTGCCTTCCTAGTTACTGTGTAGATTTTTCCAACCCATTGAGCCTTCAATGGATCCTTGTTTTTTTGTGCCAGTGCTAGGGATTGAGCTCCCAGTGCTAGGGATTGAGCCTGGAAGCAGTTCCTTCGCTATCGTCGCTCAAGGCTGGCCCTCTACCATTTGAGCCACGGCTCCATTTCTAACTTTTTTGTGGTTAATTGGAGATATAAGTCTCAGGGACTTTCATGCTGGAGCTGGCTTTGAACCATCTTTACACCTCCTGAGTAGGACTATAGGCATGAGCCACTGGCGCCAAGCTGATTGATTATATTTTGATCTGGGCAATGTGATGCTGTGTGCTGCTAGTCTGTAATGCTTTAAGTATGCATAATTTTGTTGTTGTTGTTGGTCATGGGGCCTGAACTCTGGGCCTGGGCGCTGTCCCTCAGCTCTTCAGCTCAAGGCCAGCCCTCTACCACTTGAGCCACAGCGCCACTTCCGGCTTTTTCTATTTATGTGGTGCTGAGGAATAGAACCCAGGGTCTCATGTATGTTAGGCAGGCACTCTACCACTGAACCACCTTCTCAGCCCAAGTATACACAATTTTTAATGATGTGTAGGTTGTTTTTTTCTCAAGAAAGAAAAGCAGATTTACAAAGGTCTGAAAGAAGGGGATATGAAGATGTCTGTCTGATTTCTTCCTGTTCCATTTGCCATGGATTCCATTTTCTCCCTTTTTCTTACGGTGACCATAACTACAAAAAAAAGGCGTCACTTGAGTGACTTTCTTGGTGACATCCTGACCGTGTCTGCGCTGCTGGTGTCCAGGCAGCCCCACCGCCCGAGCTAGAAGCTCAGCTGGACCAGGAGAAGCAAGGGGCTGGCTCTGGGAAGCTACTGTTAGCCACCTTCTCATTCATTCTCCTTTCCAGCTGATGACCAAACACCCAGCCAAGCGGCTGGGCTGCGGGCCGGAGGGAGAGAGGGATGTGAGAGAGCATGCCTTCTTCCGGAGGATCGACTGGGAAAAACTGGAGAACAGGGAAATCCAGCCTCCGTTCAAGCCCAAAGTGGTGAGTCCTGAAGAGCAGAACTGTACACAGAGTCTCTCCCCAATTCCAGCTGTGCTCCTCCCTCCCTTCTTCCTGGAAACAGGAGACACGTGACCCTGGCTTTGGCAGGGTGGGGGAAAACAGGAAGGTACCAGCCTAGGATTGTGCTCCATGCTAGAGTCTGAGCAGTCAGTGTTCTTGCTGGCTTTGTAGAGTAAGGAGAAACAGAGGGACCTTGCATGCCCGTCACCCACAATAGGGCGGCCACCGAGAGCCCCAGACAGTTGCAGCCTGTGCTAGACAGGCACGAGACTCTGAGGACCTCACACCCGGCAAAGCTGACCTCCTCTCAGAATTTGGGCACCAGCTTGCCCTAGGGATTGTGAAGCCCATCTAATGCTCTGTTGGCTTCTAGTTAGGCCTGGACGCTGGCCCACACAGGCCTGGGTCTATAAGAAGTAAGCAGCAACCATCGGTTCTGACCCTGCCAGCTTTCTTCAGACTCTGCCCATGTGGTTGCCACTCATTCTCCTTTATTTAATTAATACCATGGAGCAGGCCCTCTCCACTGCTCTACAAATATTAATTCGCTTTATTTCCCAGCAGCCCAGGGAGATGAGCATCACTGTCCCCAGGTTGCAGTTGAAAAACCTGAGGCACAGAGAGGCTGAGTAACTTGCTGGAGGATGCACAGCTAGTAGGTGGCAGAGTCCAGTCCTTTTCCACTGTACCATTGTTCTACCTCAGTGACAGCTTTACAGCTGATTCTGAGAGGTAGTAGTAACTCCTGTGTGCCTTTTTTTTTTTTTTGTCGGTCGTGGGTCTTGAACTCTGGGCCTGGGCGCTGTCCCTCAGCTCTGAAGCTCAAGGTGAGCACTCTACCACTTGAGCCACAGCGCCATGTCCAGTTTTCTGGCACTTCATTGGAGATACGAGTTTCATGGACTTTCCTGCCTGGGCTGGCTTTGAACTGCAATCCTCAGATCTCAGCCTCCTGAGTAGATAGGATGACAAGCGTGAGCCACCAGCACCCCGCTGTGTGCCTTCTTAATGTTTCCATCTCTAGAGACAGAGTGAATATCTTTAAGACGCCACCCTTCTCCCTACTGGTTCAGCCTAACTGTATCTCCAGTAGGTGTCCCGTGAGAGGCCAGGAGGACCCTGGGGCAGCAGAATTACTGCCTGTGCCACACACCCAGCTTTGTTCTAAGAGCAGCAACCTCCTTGTCAGCCGGTCCCGTGCATGCTCTGCTCCCAGAATAACAATGGGTGACAAGCCCATTGGACTTTATTTTTCTAAGACATTTTTAGCACAGACTGAAGACAAACTAAAATTAATCAGGTCAGTTGACTTCCTTCTGAGTCATCCTTTCAAATAGGCCCTTCGATATCTGCCACCTCCCACCTTCTTCTTAGCCAGCCCTGGACCCCGGGTCCTCTCAGAAGACCCTCTTCTTCAGTGCATAAAGCCTGGCTCTCGGGTGTAGGGAGGGACTGGGCAGACTGAACAATGAGACTGCAGGTATCTGCAAAAAAAAAGAATTAGCAAGTTTCTCTGTTCCCCCTGCCTTTCATATCTCTCATTGTCTCCTTAAAATGAGAAAGGTGAGCAATACCACCTTCAACACGGCTTGTTCTTCATAGGAACATAGAGATAAATATGGGCCCTGCTTTCAAGGTGGAGCAAGATGAATTCACTTGTCACTCCCTTTCCAAAAAGAGACAGGGTGCAGCAAGGCTAACCATAATACGCACTTTCTTTTTCTCTTTTTATTCTCACCTGGACTTGGTTTTCAGATTCTCCCACTTTTAATGGGTACTTAACCCTAAACTCATGGAGAAGTAAACCAGGGGTGACACTCAAGCAGCCAAGAATGTGGGCTGTTCCCTGTGGGTCACGGGAGCCGCTGGAAGCAGAGTGGTTCCCGTGGTAGACATCTGAGTAAGGCAGGAGCATCGTTTGATGGTGTTTTATTCTGGGAGTGCTGCTGGTTCCTTCATTCCTCGGTTGATTGGTTGGTTAGGGCTTTGGTTTGTTGGTTGGTTTGCTGGCTCGTTGGTCTGTTGGTTTGACTGAATGCTGGTTAAAATAAAAGGGAAGAATAGATTGCCTTTGGCTATAAAGGGGTGGGGGAAGGAAACCAAACACATAAAAAGCAGAGAAATTGTGGATGAAGTTTCTAGAATTGAAGGTTTTTGTGGAAAGTTATGCTTGGTCAGAGCCCTGGCCAGAGAATGGAACAGGAGAACAAACATCTGTTCACAAGAGATTGTTCTGCTAGAGAATCTGTGCAAAAGGAGTAAGGAGCCAGACAGAATGCAGGGCAGGAGCCGGGCGGCAAGGAGACACATCTGCGGAGGAAGTAAGAAGCAAGTGGACAAGACACGTCCGTTTGTCACAACGCAGACTCAAGTGAAAGACAAAGCCAAGAGTTCTGGGCCCTGGAAGGGCACCAAACAGCCCTGAGGACTCACTTTCCCCCCATCCTTCCTCCATGCCAATCTCAGGCGAGGGGTACCTACAACAGCTCTGTCCATGTGACACACCATGCTGCAGTGGAAATACTAAATCAGTTCATTGGTTAAACAGGACATGGATGACAGAGGAACACAACCTCAGACAAAGCTGCACACACTCTGCCATGAACTCAGACAGTAGGAAAAATGGGCCAAGGACCAAAGCTGTGCTAGGATGTGGCTTTCCAGCTTTGTCTAATTGGAAAGTCAAAAGAGATTGCAGATAAATACAGAGCCCTGCCTGCTCAAAGGGCCAGTCTTGCTGCTTCAAAGACAGGCACACGATACTGGTCTCCGTGTGGCTACTGAAGACCACCTTGATAACATGGCTGCCAGAGAGCCTAGCTCAGAAGACTCTACCTCCAAGCAGCTTCCCTCACTCTAGCTAAGGACTTTGTATGTCTTGGTGAATCAGTTTACTGGGCTAAGAGCCCTTAGCCTGTTTTGCTCTTCCTACATGCATACTGCTTCTGGCTCCCATGGAATTCAGCCTTTGCTTATAGTGGAAGATCAGATATAGGACTGTTGGCTTGCTGCTTCTGGTGATCTAATTTGTCCTAGAAGCCAGGTTATGTTGGCTCAGGCCTGTAATCCTAACTACTCAGGAGGCTGAGGACCACGATTTGAAATCAGCCTGAACAGAAAAGTCCAAGAGACTCTTACCTCCATTAATCACCTAAAAGCTGGAAGCAGAGGTACAACTCAAAGAATGGAGCTAGCCTTGTGTGAAGAAAGTCAAGCAGGCGCATGAGGCCCTAAGTTCAAGCCATAGTTCTCTTTCTCTCTCTCTCTCTCTCTCTCTCTCTCTCTCTCTCTCTCTCTCTCTTCACTCTCTCTTTCTCTCTCTCCCACACACACACAGAGTAATTTGTACTAGAAAAATCAAGAGTCTATCATCTTTATTTGGTCTTATTTTTTTATTTTCCTTTTGAATCTTTAAAGAAAGATTATTCCAAAGCTGCGTACCAATGGCTCATGTCTGTAATCTCTGGTGGCTGAGATCTGAGGATCTTGGTTTAAAGCCATCCTGGGGAGGAACATCCATGAGACTCTTGTCTCCAATTAACCCCCAAAAAACAGAAGTAGAGGCATGGCTTAAGTGGTAGAGCACCAGCCTTGAATAAAATAGCTCAAGAATTATGCCCAGACTGTGAGTTCAAGTCCCTTGGCCAGCAACAACAAGAACAAAAAAAGTTGTTCTGGAATCACTGACCTCCCAAGGAAGGGTAGAGGTATTATATAATTGGACAGCCACAGTTCTTATCAAGAGGAACTGAGGTTTCTGTAGTGTGCAATGTACTTATCATCTTCCAGATGCCAAAGTGACATTGGGGAAATTAAAACGTGAGATACCCATTGCACAGAGATGCTTGATGGTGCCGTGATCCATCAGGAGGCTGTGCACAGGATTGTCTGTCTCCTGATGACATGAAAGCCAGGTCTGCAGTGCAACTCGGGCCTACGGCCTGGATTCTATGTAAGGTCACACGCAGGGGAGAGCAGAGAAGGGAACGACAAGTATGCCTCACCAGACAAATCTGGAGGCTTAGACGTCTGTCTTGCAGCAGCCAGTGGCAGGACAGACATGCCCGGGGTAGCGCCATGTTTGTCCCGAGAGGTTGACTCTGTGCCATCCTGAAGACAGATGACTTTCTGGAAGACAAGACAATCGCTCGACAGGGTAGAGCCTTCCACGTGCTGCTTGATTTTATCAAAAGCAAAGATGAAACCAGACAGCCGTGCTGTCCTGTCCTAGAGATGAATCAACCACAAGCAAGCTGGAGCAGGCACCTCTCAAAGAAACATGGTGGGAGAGGGCCCTGCTCCACAGACGAAGAGCACAGGCCAGACTCCAGCAGAGGTCCTTGCAGCAAACTTGAGCCATGAAAAGGAGGCCCATTTATCTTCCCAGGACTCCGTGCAGGAAGACGGTGTTTTTAAGCAGGATGTTACCCCTGGTCCATCTCCATTCTCAGGAGAAGTGAGAGTATTCACCTGTCTCCCACAGTATCAGAGAGGCACGGAGGTACCACTGCATGCATGGCCATATGACCCTCACCCTGGGAAGGACAGCTCTTTCTTTCTGTTTGCACCAAGGTTCTGATCAGTGTTACTTTGACCTTTGTAGACTTTTATCCTGATTCATTATTCGTGGTGAAGCCAATATGCCCTTCAAATGCCCATCACCCTGCCTGGGATGAGGAACAGTTTGTACAGCTACTGGAAGTGGTGAAATGAATGGATGTTTTCCCCTGAATTCTATCCATTGATAGTAGGGAGTGGTCACAGCCAAGCCAGAAGCAATTTCTGGATGTTACTGGTTATCGGAAAGGAGAAATCCATCTAGAAAGCTAACACCCAGAAATACTCCACAGCCCACAGTAGGCAGAGCATGTGGAAAATGGGCCTGTCTTTCATAAGAGTTGTTTCTTGGGGAAACTTCCTATCTCTCTTTTTTTTGAGGGGTTACAATTACATGGGCAAGATAATGAGTACATTTCTTA